CTCCGTGTCCTGGAAGCTGGGGGTTAGGGTGGAGGGCCCCAGCCTCTGTGTCCAGGAAGCTGGGGATCTGCACTCTCCACAAACCAGGAGTATTATCTAGGCCAGCTTCACACTCCTTTAGCTTCCACTTTATTCCCATTCTTCTCATCCCTCTTCATTTTCTTCCTCTGCCTTTCTCTGTCCCTTCCCTTCCCTTCTCTTCTTTCCTCTTCCCTCTTTTTCCTTGTTCTCTTTCTCTGTTCCCATCTACTCTTCTCCTCCACTCTCTTCCCTTCTTTCTCCTTCCTGCTTTCTCTCTCTTCCTCCTGTGTTTTTCTTGTCTTTCCTTTTGAGTGCCCCCAATGTGGTACTGTGGAAAGAGTCCTGGATTTGTAGTCAAGAGACCTGGGTTCCAATCCTGGCTCTGGCTACCTCGGTGACCTTGGTCAAGTCACAATCTCTCTAGGCCTATGTCTTTTCTTTTTTTGTTAGGCAGTGGGGTTAAGTGACTTGCCCAGGGTCACACAGCCAGTAAGTGTCAAGTGTCTGAAGCCCGATTTGAACTCAGGTCCTCCTGACTCCAGGGCTGCTTTATCCACTGCACCACTGAGCTGCCCCTCTAGGCCTATTTCCTCAAATTTAAAATAAGGGAGTGGGCCTAGGTAATCTGGAAAGCTGTCTTCTATCTTGACACCTAGGATGCTAGGATTTTTTCTCCTTTCCTATCCTCTCTCCTCCTCCCCCTTTTCCTTTGCCCTTTTCTTTCCCATCTATTTCTCCTTTCCTGTCTTCTCCCACCTCTTCCCTTCTCCTTCCTTTCTCTCTACGCTCTCTTCGTCCACATTCTCCTTCCTTCTTGCCTCATCTTCCTCTCCCCTGTTTCCTCTTCCCCAGGCCTCCTTCCTTTCCCTTTTGCTTTTTTATCCCCCTTTCTTCCTCCCTTTCTCTTCTCTTTTTCCTCTTCCCATCTTCTCTTTCTCTTCCTTCGTTCTCATCTCTCTTCCCCTCAAAGAAGGCTTTCATGATCGAGGGAAGCTGGAACAGGATGGAATGGGGAAGGGAACTGGGCTTCCTTCCTCCTCTTCCCTTTTCCTACTAGAGCTCGGTGGTCTGAGACCGGGGTCAAGGCTTCTACTGAGTTAAGAAGACAAGAGACCTGGGAACTGCTTCCAGATTTGCCACCACTCATTGTGGCGATCTTGGGCAAGCCTTATGCATCTGTGGGCTGAGTTTCTTCGTCTGTAAGATGAGGGTGGACCTAGGTGACCTTTGAGGTTATAGGGCATTGAGGTTCGAGGGACACTAATTACTAGGAAGATGTTGAAGGAAAATAGGGCGAGAATGAGGGACCCCAGAGGTGGAAGCTGTGAGTCTTGTGGCTAGGGTGGTGCTGGGCACAGCCCCGCTATGGACTCAGCTCCAGGCCTGCTCCTTCCTGGGAACAGCCCAGCCATCTCTTCCTGGGGAGTGAGGAGGGAGTGGAAGGAAGGCTTCCTCCCTATCCCCAGAGCAGGGTCAGCCTTTGCAAAGGCACTGCCCTCTTTGAGTTGTTGGTCACTTTCTATTCAGATTAAATCAGCTGGCCAGATGTGACTGAGGAGAGGATAGTATCTCCTGGGATGGTGGGTCCTTGGGGGGATGGGCAGCCAGAAATAAGGCTCTGGGCAGAACTGAGTCTTACAAGGTCACACAAAAGCCTGTGCCTGACCTGGCAAGAGCTGGTTAGACCAGATCTCTGGAGGTTGGTATGTTCCTTGGTGGGGGAGGTTGGGGGTGGGTGGGGGCTGGCTGAGCAGCTGCTTGCGTGAGCTTTCTCTCTCTCTCTCTCTCTTTCTCTCTGTCTCTCTGTGTCTGTCTCTCTTTCTCTCTCTCTGTCCCTTCTTTCTTCTCTTTCTGTCTCTCTCTCCTTTCTGTCTCTGTCTCTCTCCTTTCTGTCTCTGTCTCTCTCCTTTCTCTCTCTTTCTGTCTCTGTCTCTGTCTCTCTCTCCAGGTGAGATCAGAAGCCTTTCTTAGAAGTCTGTTGATTGCTCTCTTTCTAGCCCTGGATCCGCTTGGGAAGGCAGGGGTGTCTCTGGGGATCTCTGGGGCCTCTGAGTTGAGGAGCCAATCTGGGGTAATAGAAAATACTCAGGGCTTGGAGTGAGAAGGGACCTAGGTTTGAGTCCCAGCTCTGACATTTACTAGCTGTGTGACCTTGGGCAAACCAGAGGGCAGACTTCTTAGAGCCTCAGTTTCCTCATCTGGAACGTTGCAATAACACTAACAACAGCAGAACAAAACAACAACAATAATAGTAGTTGTAAGGGAAGTGTTTTGTAAACCGTCAAGCGTTACAGAAATCAGAGCTATTATTATTAGCTTCTGAGGCTGATCCTGTGAAGTCAAGCAGATGATTTAATAATCCACAGTAACTGGGTTCAAGTTGCAGTGGAAAGAAGTCAGGTAAAACCAAATTTCCTGACTACGGGGGTGGTGCCTTTCAGGACGACGCCCGAAGCCCTTCTGCCCTGGCTGTCCGAAGGAGCTCTTGGTCGTAGCCGGTTGGAGAGGGTTAGGCCTCTCTGGGAGCAGGGCAGGCACCAGATGACACCCTGATGTGCTTATGATTTTATGCGTGTTGCTTTACTTAACATCTTCCAGAGGAGGGGCCCCGCAGACGAAGAACCACAACTAGGGGAGTCTAGGCTCAGGACACAGGGAAGAGCTCTCCGGGACAATCCTGACTTCCGGCTCAGGGCTCCCTCCCCTCTGGTGTTGCCTAGCCTGGTAGGGTTACTTTAGACTTTTTGTCTGAGGATCTTTCCCCTTAGGATCCCTTAGGTCCAGAACTTTGGGCCTGTAGCCACTGCCCTGACTTGGGGGACCACCCACTACCTCCCCACATAATAAGCAGTGGGGGAGAGGAGCTTCTCATCTCCAAGGCCCCATTCTCTGGGCCAAGAAAAAAACTTGGGGGAAGAGAGAAACAGAATGGAAGCAGACAGATGGACAGAAAGGTGGGGGAGAGACTGAAGGGAGACAGACAGATGGACAGAAAGGGGGGGAGAGACAGGGGGGAGACAGACAGAGGGAGGGAGGGGGGGGAGAGACAGAAGGGAGACAGAAAGATGGACAGAAAGGGGGGGAGAGACAGAAGGGAGACAGACAGATGGACAAAAAGGGGGGAGAGACAGAAGGGAGACAGACAGATGGACAGAAGGAGGGGAGAGACAGAAGGGAGATGGACAGCAAGGGGGAGAGAGAAGGGAGACAGACAGACAGAAAGGGGGGAAGAGAGATAGAAGGGAGGAGAGGGAGATGGAAAGGGAAAGAGAAAGAGAAAGGCGGGAGGGAAGGTAGAAAGAAGAGAGAGAAAGAAAGAAGGGGAGAAGGAGAGAGAGAAGGGGAGAGAGCTCGAGCACGAGCGTAAGCCAGAATGTGCACTGAGACTTTTCTAGCTTATACCTATCTGGGTTCTGTCTTGGGAGGACCCTTCTCCCCAGGTTTTTTCTGA